CCACATCACTCTCCAGAATCCTCTCATGGATCAAAAACAGGGCTTCTTGTGCCGGAGAGAATGCCGGCATCCGGCCCTCCGGATCCCGCCGGCGCGTGTCGGAAATCTCAATAATCCGCTCCTCGTCGCCGGGGATCAGTTCATGCACGTTGATCCACGCACCGGTGTGTTGCCGAATCGACTTAATGATGCTACCGGACTTGCCGATCACGCCTCCGGCTTTCATGTCGTGGCAGAGAATACGGTATGTCGTTGTCACCGTAATTGATGGGTCCTGTTGAGGCTTAGAGGGTCGCCCACCACCACTGCCGCCACCGCCTCCGCCGCTTCCACGGTGGCGGTGGTTGTTGGTCGCGTAGTGGTGGTTGTACCGAGGCCTCGTCCTACCGACAGTCTCTGTATCGTAGTCTTGGTCATAGTAGTACCTCTTAGATCTAGACCTCTCCATCTCCAACAGTGTGTCAAAAGCTAGGGTTTTTAACTCTCCAGGTCAAGAAAGAAATAGATCCTTTCGTCAGTGTCCAATATCAAGCATTGTGCTGTTGGAATTTGAGGTCTAGGGCTTCAGATTGTCTTTGTTCCAGAGTAGAAGTAAAGGATTACACTTGGGGAGCTTGGTCATTTTTAGTCCTTGTTCCTCTGTTGTTGTTGGTTTTTGTTTTCCAATTCTTTCCTTCTTTTCTGTGTGTTTCGTGGGAAAGCGTGAGAGAGATGTTCAAATTTGAAAACCCTAGAGAAGATGTGGAGAATCTAGGGAGAGAGGAAGTCCAATTTGCAGAGTCTGAGCTGCCAGGTTTACCAGTTCAGTCTGGTTTACTTTACTTTCCCCAACATCCACCCAACTCTGAGGTAATAATAACAATAAATAATTTATTTATTTTATAGTCTCTTCCAGATGGATTTGACTAAACGACGACGATTAACGGACCCTTGATATTAGGATAACGTACTACAAAAGTTGTGAGGTAATGGAAAATATACGGTATACATACAGTACATGTTGTTTAAGAACTTTTAACATTTTTTGATAAGTGAGAATCTAAAAATTCAAATTCAAACAAGTATGGATTAAATATACCCAAATTTTTATAGACTTTTTCAAAGTTCGTAAAAATTCAAATTAAATACATTTAGATTATTAAAGTCTTTTAAAATTTTATAGAATTCTAATTAAATACATCCTTTAAGAGAGAGAGTCGAGACTCATTACCCTAACCGATTGGCTTATCCAATTTTTAATATGTAAAATGTGTACTTGCTTTTGCTAAATATTCGAAAAACCTTGCTTGCAACTTTTGCATTTGATTTAAACTCTTCATTAAGTTGTCTAATGTCTCTTTAATGGAAAAGTGAGCTCGAGCCTCATCACATGATTCTATTGTATCCATATTTTAAACTAATCAAATCATATTCCATGCAAAAAAGACTAGCGGATCATAAGTTAACTACAACTAAAGGCTTATGCTAAAACACTTTCTTATGCAATGGTGTTTTGGTTTATTGGGTGTTCTTATGATTTTTTTTAAAAATTTATTTTCATGTAACCAATGATTATCTTCAATGATAATATTTCAATTTTCACTTTAATTTTGCTTTGAATTCCATTTGATTTCATAAATGAGAATTGATTAGATTAGACGTGCATTAATCTCAACACATAAATGTTCGTTGAACATAGTTTATGACAACAAGATAGAACTTAATTATCTTTATTAAAACTATTAATCATTGTTTATATTTAGTACTAGCCTATTCGCAAGCGCTTTCGAGCCTGCGAGAGGATTCTTTTAAAAAAATTTAAATTTATTTTAAAATTAAAAAAGATAATGGGTAATTGTGTTCCATAAAAATAGGATTCATTATCTTATTTTTATTTTTATTTGTATTTGTATTTAATATGAAAAAGTGTGAATTTATCATATTATTCTCATTTAATTAATAATTTCAATTCTTAATATTTGCATTAATTAAGGTTTTTTTTTCACTTTATATATATAGAAGATAATCAACATTTTCTCATATTATTATGCCTACCCTAGCATGCCCTCGAGTTATACCGTTAAATTTTGAATATGACCTTTTCTTTTATTTAATTATATTTTTACCAGTCATGGTTGGATTTTTTAATTTTGAAATAAGAAACGCAATTCAATAAAAAATTATAACGTTGGCAACAAAGTCCTTTATTCTAGCGAGCATTTATGTTTCTAAATTATTATTTATTATTTCCAAAATGTTTCTACAATTTAAATGAATATATATATTTTTCCAGTCCCATGTGTATATTTTGTTATTAAAAAATGATATTGGAAATCCTATCTCCTACCAACTCACGGCAAGATATAAAAATATTTTTTCTTTTTTTGTGTGGATAATAAAAGAATAACTTGAGCAAGTTGAATTCGGATTTTAAAGCCGAACTAGTAGATCTCGACCCCTCGTCGTGGAGGCCATCCAAATTGATTTGGTTGGTTCTGAATTCTGATCCCTGCAAGGTCGCGTCAAAGGCGATGGCATACATGTAAATTCAGGTTAGTGTGAGGACATTTATACAAGAACTGCTAAAGCACTAAACCTAAGATCAAAGTGGAGGATAACAACACAGCGGCCAACGCACAGCGATGGCTTCTTCCACACTAGGCTTCACTTTCTCACCTGCTTCCCATGTAATATTTCTCTCTCTATCTCTCTGAAATAATTGGACAAAAATGAAACTAAATGTGTACGAAATTCCACTTCTTATTTTGTACTCTGGTTGTTGTTATCTTTTTGGCTGCAGAGGGTGCAACTGAGAGTGGAAAGTTCAATGCTTTCCAATTGCTCCTTTAGGCCGCAGGTTACAAATTGCTGTTTTTTTCTAGCTTTCTTCTCAATTTGATTTTAATTAGTAATCTTTCTTAATTATGTTATATAAACATTTTGCAGGTAATTTCCCGAATGCAAAAAGATGGCAGCGGCCGGCGAGTGTGGCGGCGAAGGAAATTGGTACGAAAGAAAAAACTCCAGTTGACTGCCGCCTAGTCTTTCTTGTTAGTAACTTAGTAGTGTGAATTATATCTCATGGAGCACTAAAAGAAGCGATAAACAAAAAAGAAAGAAATATATTTTGGGAACTCAATTTTAGAGTTTTCATGAGAAGGCTATGGTAATATAGTAACTGCAAAACATGATTTATGTTACTCATCTCAGATTGTAGAAACAACCCATTAAGAATTTGAGTTCATGAGGAATTCTAGTGTAGGATTGTTTTGTAAGCAAAAGTGACATTTTCAGCTGAATCTCTATCTGGCAAGTGCTAAGATCGGTTGTAGCTACTAGGCATGAAGTCTTTTACTGTTTTCAATCTCTTGCTGTTACCCATCTGAAAAGGAAATGTGGGTTGAAAATCTGGAAATGAAAGTTTGCTTCTTGAATGACAAGAGAGTATATTAAGCTGTGATTCAGAACCTCCTCGTGTTGTACTATTGGGCATTGACTCAAATTGGGTGCAAATTTTTCATTTTTCAGACAAAGAAGGATGACATGTTGCGATACAAGATGGAGAGAGTACCTTTCCTTGAGGAGCAGGTTCGGAAGGTAAAGGACGGAGGACAGCTCTTGGGAATGGATATTGAGAGACTACTCCTATCAGAGGATAACCGGTTTGATTTTGTCAATGATATAGCGGCCGAGGCTAGCGAGTATGTCGAGAACAACCGAGATGAGTATGGGGGCAAGAAGAAAGCCATCCTTCAAGTGATAAGTAACCGGGTGAATGATGCTGGGTTTTTTAGACCAGAGGCATATGAAGAATCTGACCCCTTCAAGCCAGGCCCTTCTTATTTGAAGGAAGAATTTACTTGATTACATACACCACTTACTCATGTTGTAATGTTAATCTTAGACTAGAGGCTGCTATTATCTATGATAGTTTCCGTTTTCAATCTATCAGTGCACTAGTTTTGCTTCTCAGACCCTATCTTTTTAGTCTACTTCTGCACAGGTGCGCTTGCAAGTTGTTCAATCTGTACCTGTTTCTTTCGTTTCGGCTATTCGTTTAGTACAAAGGGCTTGTAGTTAGAATCGTGAAGAGGAGGGGAGTCTTGTGTTCGAATTCGAATCCCCCCTCCTCCCCTATTGCATATAACAAAAAAGAAAACAACAACAACAACAGTAACGTATTATAAATATGTTTTCTAACGTATTATAAATATGTTTTCTAAGATCGCCCTTTTTGGTTAATTTTTACTCACAATTCACATTCACAGTTGACAGTTAGTTGAACTACAGCCATGAATTTGGAAGTGGATCTCAGAGTTGTTGTGGCTACGGACCATGTTGAATCTTTAACAGCATCGTCCGGACCCACCATAAAGTGGGTCACATCTGACGTGGCAAAACTGGGGTGGAGGGTCAAATGAAAAAGGGTCCCACGTTCCTACCCAATCTGTTAATGCAGTTAAAGGTGTAGCTTCACTCTCTCTTATCCTTCACATGATGACCAAATCACCTCCCACCACCACCACCACTCCTAATTCTGAACTCTGAACTCGTCCCACCTCCCTGGTTCAACTCAGTAGCAGTGGCACTAGTGGTGGTGGTAAATGGCTTTGTTGAGCCCGCGGTTGCAGAGGTTCCTCTTAACCAAATACCATGGAGACTCATTGAAGACCACGGCCAACAAAAGCAGCCTTGTTAATATAAAAGCAAGAAGCCGAAGCTGCTCGGCCATTGCCATAGACGCGCCTGGTTCTTCGTTGACGGATGTGGCAGGAATTCGATGGGGTTCGACCAGTTTGCAGGGTGCCCGAGAAGAGATGGAAGACGGTGTCGTTGTGCGGTCCGATGGCCTTGATGGGTTTTCATTTGCCGCCGTTTTTGATGGCCATGCCGGGTTCAACTCGGTCAAGTTCCTCAGGTTTGACCACTACTAATTTTATTTATTTATTGTCAAAATTTGACCACAACTAATTGGAATTAACTTTTTAATTAATTCCAGTAAGCTAAATTAAAATTAAACTCTTTTGTATAACAGGGATGAGCTCTACAAAGAGTGTTGTGCGGCTTTGCAGGGTGGGCTGCTATTGCGTGGAAATGATTTCAAGACCATTAGAGAGGCATTACAGGAGACTTTCGAAAAAGTGGATGCAAAATTGTTAAATTGGTAAGCAAAAAAAGTAAAAAAGAACATGGTTTGATGAGAAGGAAGAAAAAAAAAAATGGTTTTGGTGCTTGCATCAAATATGATTGTAGATTGTAGATTGTATATTATTGCGTTGAAGGTTTAGATGGTGTTTGATTTTGTAAAGGCTTGAAAGGAATGGAGAGGAAGATGAATCTGGCTCAACAGCTACCGTTATTTTCGTTGAAAATGATACGCTGGTCATTTCACATGTTGGTGATTCTTGCGTGGTATGTATTCAATCCCAGTGTCCTCTTGGTGTCTTCAGCATTTGTAGCTCATTTATCAAATGCCATTAAATGAAGAAGACAAAGGAAGATGACGAAACAATAAATTCAAGGGTTGCATGTAATTAGCTGTATTTATCAGCTGACTGGCTGATGCAGGTTCAATCTTGTTCTGGAAAAGCAGAGGTACTGACCCATCCTCATAGACCATATGGAAGCAACAAGGTCTCTCTTCAAGAAATCAAAAGAATCAGAGAAGCAGGTGGATGGGTGTGTTTTTCTTCTTTGTTTATTTATTCATGTTTACTTCTTTGAGCCATATCTTATAGTTCTCAGTTTCTTCTACAGAAAATGAGAGCTAGAACCTGCTTTGTTGAACTTGATATAATTTCTAACCTTGGAAATGTTCCAAGCTTTTGGACAACTTAACTCTAAACTAATCATCACATTTTTGTTTGGGATATTACTGTTAATTCCCCATACTTCTTATGTCAATAACAAACCTGATGACAACTTACATATGGTGCCTATAGATCGTCAATGGAAGAATCTGTGGAGACATTGCTGTATCTCGTGCTTTTGGTGACATGCGGTTCAAGACAAAGAAAAACGAGTTCAGTCTTTTAACATTCTGCTCATCCTTTTTAAAAATAGGGTTTTTTCCTGGAAGCTTTGGTATATAGACAACCAGAATATGCATATACTGATGGTCTTTTGCATTTTGTTATGGAAAGGATGCTGAAGAAAGGAGTTGAAGAAAGGAGATGGACAGAAAAATTTGCTTCTCGGTAGGTAATCTCTTATGTTTCTTGCTTGACTACTAGTTTCACCTATTTGTTTCTTTCCTTCTAATTAGGATGCTTTTGGATTAGTTCAATGCTAGCAAGTATGTAGTGGATGACTTTCATAAGGATACGAATTTTCCGGTAATATTTGATAAGGTTAAACACAAGGTTTAAACTCTAGTCTACTGGTATATTAACCAAATGCATGTAGTTGGACCAAATATCCTGGAATAATTAGATGATTGAATTCATATCAGAGGCTGGTATATAAGTGATCACCATTTTTATGTGAACAATTGATGAAGTATGTGTTCTCTGTGCCTGCTAGATTTCAATATTGCCCAATTCCTATGATAACCTCAAGTTGACCCCTGTCTAGGTTTTGAGAATGACAATAGAGGTGCAAATTCTTATACGATTCCAAAATTTTCAGTTATGCAGTACTGAAATATGCTTTCGCATTAGAAAAAGTGGCCTATAGTGTCTGAGATACATCTCATATGAATAAGCTTCTGGATTCTGCACAGCACTAAACATTCAATATAGTAGTGTAAATTAGATTGTTTCTCTCTGTATTTTAGTGTGTCGTTTTACGTATATAGACAACTAAGAATACATTAATTAGAATCCCTTTTATGTTATGCTAGTATACAATTCAGTGGAGACCTTGTTACTGCATCTCCAGACATTTTTCAAGTGACTTTTGGGAAAGATTCTGAATTTGTACTGTTAGCATCTGATGGCTTATGGGACTACATAAACAGGTTTGTTGGACTGGTCTTTGACACTCTTGGTAAAACTCCATGTAATTATCATATTCTCATCAATTTAATCGCCCACGTAAAACTTGATAACTTTTTCAGCTCAGATGCAGTGGCTTTTGTAAGGAATCAGCTTCGACAACATGGAGACGTTCAGGTATGGCTTGTGCATCAATTTGCTTAACTACTTCCTTTATTTTATTTGATATGCATCAACATCAATCTCCTTTAACGTTGTAACACAAATGGTGATCCAGTGATTAACTATACCGTCTTATTTATGTTTCAGCTAGCTTGTGATGCGCTTGCTCAAGCTGCTTTGGTAACAAATTACATTAGTATTTGTTTTACTCTGCACAGATTAGCTAGATTCTTTACTCGGGTAGTTTTCTAATGACCTGAAATTTGCACGTATTGAATAGGATCAACGCTCGCAAGATAATATCAGCATTGTAATTGCCGATTTGGGGTAGGCTTCTGCATGCATTATGGTTTTTATTCTTAATGATATACATTCCTTCACCTTCCTCTTTCTTTTTCTTTTTTTCTGTTTTGCGTTGTTGTGATATGTTTTATTTGATTCATCCACAGCCGGACAGACTGGCAAGGTTTGCCATTTCAACAACAAAATTTCGCATATGAATTGGGGCAAGCTTTTGCTACAATTGGGATTGTGTCGCTTGGAATTTGGATGTCGACTTCTTTGCTTTAGACATGAATCTGACTCTGAGGCATCCTCAGCTCGGCAATTCATTCAGCTGACTTCACGGTAGCCGAATGAATTGGGACCCTGCCGACTCCAGAGAATGTATATAAATGGAAGTATGGAAATCAACATAGATTTTCGCACATTTTATTTGTATAATCTTGAAGTGTACATGCCTCACTCCACACCTTGATACTTTTGGTTTAGGTGAATTAGAATAATCTTAGTAGTAAACAAAGAATTCACATGTTCAATGATTTAGCTTGATAGTTTGTTATTGAATTTGAAAAAAAAAAATCTATAAAATACGTGTACAACATGTGATCTAGCTATGAATTTCTGCAATGGTTAAACCAAAGAGGGAGGGTCGCTCTCAGACTCTCTCTCTCTCTCTCTCTCTCAACGGAGTGCCTTTTTCCCCACAACACAACTACGGGAGTGGCCTTTGAGGTTCTGAAATCACAGTTGATGAATTTCCAAACAGGAGATGGCAGAGACAAGGTGCATGAGATGAGAATACATACTATGACCTTTTGAGATTCCGAAATCCCAACTAAAGCAAATTGCAAATGATAATGGAGAAACCCCAATCACTGGAACCCAACACTAACAAACTATACATCGTCTATGGGACATGGACATGCATGATTCATGAACGTTTGAGGCATTAAATTTATGTTTCTAATATTTTATGCTGTTCATTATGAGATAGAAGATAGTGCTTCATTCTTTTAAAAATTATTTATTCAGTAGCAAAGCAATGGCAAGTATTTATTTTACACTTCTTCACTTCATACATATATATAAGATGATCAGAAGCAATAGCCACAGGAGGAATATGATTTATATATATATATATATATATATATAAAGGTGCTTGTATATATTCCTATGGCCACACACACACAACAAGAACTAGACAAATACAACAATACATACACATATATATATATATATATTAATTTGATGACGAAACTCATTCGATCGGATGGCTGGCCATATCTTATGTATGTCTCCTTACAGATGATATCAATCACAACCTCGGTAAGAGAGGGCGCGGCGGGCGGGAGAGAGAAAATAGTAGTGTTATTAATTAGTTAATTAAGAGTTTTAAGGCCACTTTATTAAGGCAGTCATGGGTTCCTTCCATTGCCAGGTTTCCTTCTAGGGTCGTGTTTTTGATTGGCTCCTGTATCATCATAATCCTGCATTGTTGCATCAAGCATCCAAAGCTTCCTTGAATTCATTACGATTCCATCCTTCAGAAACATAAAGAATTCGTCAGCAAGGAAGGCATATGATTTGCATCTCTTAATAAATTAATGTTAAATTGTATTTAATAATAATAATGCATGGTAGAATGTTGTCCCATAATTAATCTTATGATAGAAACTAGAGAACAAGGAGATTAATTAATTGTACCTTGTGAAGTAAGTGAATGGGGTCTATGCCATCCTCCTTGAACCCTTCATTAACAATGCCTACTTAAGTCAGCTTATTAAGATAATTGAAACATTTTATACACACACACACACACACACACACACACACAAAAAGAAAGATAATTGAAACATAAGGAAACTGAAATGGGATATAATTAAGTAATCTGCTCACCTGAAGATAAGGGAATGAGGAGAAGTGAGAGGAAAAATAGTAGAAGAAGAAAGACATTGATTCTAAGAGCCATATGGCTTCTTCTTCTTCTTCTTCTTCTTCTTCTTCTTCTTCTTGTATCAAATATCAATAGTTACAATGGGGGATGAATATGTTTGGCTCTATCGGGGGAGGTGGGGAATTCGCCTTTTATGCTTACTCTCAGAGTGAGTGGTAGCATATTATGCACTACGAGAGAGAGAGAGAGAGATAGAGAGAGAGAGAGAGAGAGAGAACTGTTGTCATTGTGTGCTGTGCACTCACTCCACCCAATAGCAACCCAACAGCATGATGATGAAATGCTTTTTACCCTCCAGCACAGCACACAAGTCAACTGCACTATTTCATTTCATGTTGAGTCCAAAATGGAACTTGATTTTCAGTAGCTAATCTGTTGCAATTTCACCTTGCTTAAAGTGTTCTCTTGGATCAAAGGTTTTGATACGAGACCTTGCTGATGCAACCGGAGAAGGAAACTTCCGAGCATCAGAAACAAAGGTTAGTTGACTCGCAGTAAGAGAATAGAAAAGGTTTCATCCAATTCGCGCTAACTAATAGTGGAATATATTTTAAGGAGTACAGCCGCGCAACTATACTATTAAAATATTCGGATTTATTTAGAGAGTATAGCCGCGCGGCTATACTCTTATGTGTGTGCACAAACACCACAACAATCCCCTGCGTGGCTTAAATTCTAACCATTGTTTTTAAAAAAAGAGAAGGGAGAGAGAGAGAGGGATTATTTTCTGCCTACTTTTGTGTGGTTGTCATCTTTTTTTGTTATTAATTTAATTTGTTTTTTTTTTTCCTTGTGTTCACCACTAATTTGAGTTGCAAATGTTTCAATGGTGCAGTGCACATCTACTTTTTAAAGTGCCCATTGTTTCAGTAAAAACTAATAAACTAGTAGATATGTCTAGCTCATGGTGTGCAGAAATTGCGTGAATGATCATGACATGCGATGAATATTATAGACATTTTTTCCCCTTCTTCTTCTTCTTCTTCTTCTTCTTCTTCTAAGATTATGGCTCTATGAGATACAGAAAGATAACTTATATATCCTTGATTTGATGAGGTTAATTACGCTTTCTCTTGTATATATAGACCGATAAGTTTATTGCTCAATCTCAATGGAACTTTTAATTAAGCCCCATGAATCATGATGATAAAACATAAACAATAGGGGAGGTGTTTATGGATGGCCATCATTTTCTCTACGACTTTCAACCTTTTTATGTTCTTCTGACCTCTCCCTCTCTCTCTTTTTCTCTCTGATAGATTTCATTTTCCGTGGTACCAAACCAAACAGCGCTTGACTTTAATTGTGCTTTAGGTCCTCATATTTTGGCTTTCATCACTTCGTGGTTTGTCAATGGATGAAGACAAACACAGAGAGAGAGAGAGAGAGAGAGAGAGTGGGCTACAATGAAAAATCAAATAGGAAGGATTAGAATTGAAAGATTGGTGACCCACTAGTGGGATGGAATGGAAGCAAGCACTATCATAAGGTAAGGGAGCGAGGGAGGGAACAAGTCAACAGTTTGAAGTACTCTCCCAACACGGACTGCAACTTTTTTTTAAAATAATCGTAGATTAACATTACGATAAAGAAAATGTTGCAGTAAGTAATCATCTCCCAAGAGGAGTATATGTTGGTAATGATGGTGTTTAGAGGAACTCCGTTTTTGGCAATGTTTCTAGGTTGTCGGGGAACATTATTATGAAAACAAATAAAATGGTATTTTACTATTTTAACTAGGCAAGGCATCAATGAATCTACAACTAAGATGATTGATTTAGGGTTTTGTACATATAGATTAAGTCTATGTATGGTTGGATAATGGCAATGGCAGGGTTTTGTACATATAGATTAAGTCTATGTATGGTTGGATCATGGCAATGGCATGGATGAGAGAGAGAGAGAGAGAGTGTGCAAGTGCTTAATCAAAGTGGTACTCGCTATTCATTTTGGATGCTTACTGTGATGATGTCATCCCCATCTGCCCTTTGCCCTCTGTTTTGTCTTTCTCTGATTAAAAAAATCCAATTGTTTTGGGTTAAAAAGTAGTACACACCTCACATTATGTGAAGGGGGGCTACCAGAAAAAGATGTTGCGCTTGCTGCTGGGTATGGAATGGATGGTGGCAGTCATGTCACAAATTGTCAATAGCTACCTTCTTTGAACCTACCTGACCACATCTTTTTTCCTTTGAAAACTTTACATGACCATAATTGGTTGTTTTTCAATTCAGGGATGAATACGAATTGGTGCGCTGAATGCGTACTTGGTCAAAAAAGAGTTACGAACCACCTTTTATCCAACTCCTCCTACTTTTACCCTCCAATCCAATCAATGCTCATCATGTTCATCCTAATTAGAGCTGACAATAAATCTT